GGGGTTGATGACCAGTCTCTACTCTGACGGATCAGCCCTGTCCTCGCATTGGCAGCCTGTGACTGCAGCCACTCACTTCCACAGTAGCAGCACATTGGCATAACTGGGTGAATCCCGCACATGAATCCAACTATTGTGTTAGGAGGAAAAACATTCTTTATCAGAACAACCGGCTGCTATTTATACCAGGGGATGTACAATGGAGCTGCTGAAGAGTTTATTACCCTTTTTAATTTGCCACCTTATGACCCGAAAGACCCACAATTCCCTGGTCAGCGCCGTGTCTGCTGTGAGACAAAAAAATGACTAAAAGGCTGCTGGTTCTCTGTTGCTCGCGACGTTGTTTGAAACTAATTAATAATCGGGCAACAATGACCTACAGGCAAAGGATTATTGGGCAATATTGTCGCAGGTGTTTGTGCCAACGTAGCAAGATAATCCTCTGCCTGTTGGTACTTATTGCTCGGATGAACCTGTGTGCAGCATCTGTGGTTGCGGATGCAGAGATTTATTCAGCATCAACATGAACTGACTCTCCTGTAACACACTGTAGACCAAAGCAGAAGAGCTTTAAAACGCTGCGATTTAAATCGCAACAGCTTTTGCTGTTGGTCTAAATGTTCTTAAAGCGGCGGTGAATGGGGTGGAGGGCGCTGAGTAAATGTGATTTCAAATCAAAGCTTTTCCAGAGATTCTTGAGCAGTTTCATGAGGGTGTCATGCTGTGATCGTCTAAACAAACAATCCCTGACGTCAATTCATCCAGCCTGCAATCCAGTATCTGTGCCGCTTACAGAGATAGAGGAGACGCTGGAGCAAAATATTGAGTGTAATCCCCATTTTATTTCCAGACACGTCGTAGAGCGTATCACGGTTTTGAGTGAAACTAAGGGTTGGTGCAAAGGCTGGATGGTACTACTGAAAGACACTAGAACTGTTCCTGGAAAATAACAGGTTAAGAGTAACAGGTTACACCACGCAATCATCATGGTGTCACATCAGTTGAACATTCTGATTTTTATCCTAAACTCACACGGAGGTGAACGTTTCTATAGTGTACGTGTCATTTTAATGTGCAGCTAAGAACCTTTGCAAGTTCCAAGTAGTTTACATGCCTTGGGCGAGATGCTAGTGTGCAAGTGGTCCTGGTGAAATCAGGGTGTAGGATGGTGGGGATCGAGCAACATACCACTGCTGGCCAAGGCAGCAGTTGAACCCACAGTCTAAATCCTCGGGTGTTTACGTGACAAATGTATGCTACTTCTAACAAAAGCACGAGGTTTGTAGAGAGAGTTTACCATTTATCTTGTCTGTTAAAGTCAAGTTTCTGGTTTGACATTATTGAATCCATCTTGACTGAAGACCAGCTGTGCTGAAACACACTGAGAACACAAGGGCCTGTTCTCAGCTACCTGTGCTATTTTATTTATAGAGAGTCCTCCAGTGATCTTCAACCTAACACCCGAGCACACTGCATTGAAGAGCCCTAGATTTTCTCTCTCTCTCTCTTTTTTTTTCTTTTTTTTTCCTTGTTTTGTGGTTCGCGTTGGAGCACTCCAGCAGCAGGGGGCAGCGACTTTCATGATCCAATCAAGAGCGGCTGGTGCTTGTCAGAGGCGGTGGAGAGGCTCAACAAATCACATTAAACAATAAAGGAGGGGAAAGGAGATTAGCAACAGTACCGTCATAGCAGCAGAGTGAGGGAACGTTCGACATTAAATGTCGATTTAGTACTTTTGAACCAAATAGCTGATAAACGAGTGAGCCGTACATCCAATCTGTGATTCTTAGGGGGATTAAGCATCAATAAATGATATGCACTGGTTTAAAGTTTCTCAAATATTTTAAGCTTCACAGCAGCATTTTTCCCCTTTCTGTTTTTCTACAGCATTCTACTGGCTATTTGGCTACGTCTACATATCTGTCTACAGTTACATTTCTCGATTTTCGTTCAGCTGCCACGGTGTTTTAGAGTTTGTATAGACTGGGATAGGAAACGTATTCGTCGTTCAAGGGCATTTTTGATTCTCCGTCATATTTCTTAGCTATTTTTCTGTCAAAATGTAGTTCTTTATTGAGATTTAAGCACCTTCCATTTTGACTAACAATCATCGTTTGATGAGCTTACCATTTTTAGCCTACTTTTTGGTTCACTTTTAGTGATACATTGACTGAGTGTTTTCATAATAGTTCATTACACTGTGCTATTATTGAACTAACTCTATTATAATGTCTAATTTACAGTTCTTGGTGGCTTGACCATCGTTTAAAATTATTTTTGCCTATTCTTTCCTTGCTTTTTTGGGGGTATGTTTTTTTACATAAAAGACACATTTTCATAATCTGAAAATTAACAGTATATTTTGAAGGGACATGTGAAACCCTGTTATTTAAATACCTGAGACAATCCTTGTTTTTTTTTTATTATTTTATTTTAATCCTTGCTCATTTCCTTTGCTACATTCTGTGGCTCCTCGTCTCACCCAGTGCTTCCTGTGACCGGCCTGTGGAAGCAATGCAATTAGACAGACACAAACAAAGCTCTCCAAACCACCATGGAAAACGCTGACTGTCCACTGTCCACTGTCCACAGAGCCGTCCAGCAGCAGCAACGCCAACCGTTGTTTCACCAACACACGTACGCACACATTTAAAGAGACAAAAAGACAAAGTTAGCTGCTCTGTGTAAAAGGCCACGGCACGGACAAGCGCAGATTTGAAGTCATGAACTAATAAAGTCTACTTAACTTCAGTCAACGCTCTTCTTGGCGTTGATCGTAATGAAGTTCACGTCATGCCTTTGTTTGATTGGCTCTGCTACTCTGGGTTTAATCCTGCTGGTTTGGGGAGTGTTTGAGTTGGATTACTCCAGTGTTGGGCCTCGGTACTGTTTCCCTGGCTATGACAAGACACTGTGTGAGTGTGTGTGTGTGTGTGTGTGTTTGCTTCGGTGTTCTCCCTCTCGAACAAATCAGCTGAAAACCTCAGACAGCCCCCAACTCAATCGCAGTCCAAATCCCTCTGCATGCAAATTAAAAACGCAACAATAAACATGGCAGAGGAACAAGGTGGGCTCACGGGCTCGCTACAGCTTTACGACCCCCTCGTTCCTCACGTCTCTCTCTCTCTTCCTTCCTCGCACTTTCTATCTCTTTGTCTCTGGTTTTTTTTTTGCCTCACTCTGCCTGGTCCTGACTTCTTCCAGAAGCCCTCCTGGGTTTCATGAGTCTTCTGGGAGAAGTCTTGCCAGGGAACGTCCAAACTGCTGAGTTATCTCTCGCATGCAGCGTGAAGATGTGGCTCTGCCCACCATGTTTGTGTCTGTGTGTGTGTGTGTGTGTGTGTGTGAGCAGACCAGTAGCCCGGTGTAATCCTCTGGAAATATAAGGTGCTGCCACACACTGGCCTGGAAGATTACAGCAGTGCTCTGACACTCCGCCAGCGCAGAGTGGTCAACTGAGCGCATGTACACACACCCACTGGGGTCAGAAATTATTAGGGCATGCTAATTCCAAAGTGTTTGCTTTTTTTGATGTTGTATAATCAACATTATTGAAAAAGAAAAAGGACAGAAAAAAATTTAATTTTAAACTTATGTAAGCCAAATAATAAATGAATAAAGCTAGATGAAAAAGACAAGCCAAGGCAGAAGGAAAAGGTAAAAAATAAACTAGAAATATGCAGTATAACTAAAAACTATAATATCAGTGATATTCAGATTAATTTATGTGTATGTAATTTCTCGTCAAATTAGGCCCAAATTTAGTCCTAAAGGCTTCAATCAAAAGATAAAACTATTCCATCAAACAGGTGCAGACCTCATTACTCGTGTATGGTGTAAGATAAAACTATTCCATCAAACAGGTGCCTCATTACTCGTGTATGGTGTTTGTGTGTGTATGACGGAGCTTCAAATATACTTCATAAATATATGGATTTCTTTTAATAAACTTCTTTCTAAAGCTGAGTTAATTGTTCTTGAATTGGCTTATATGTACAAGTATAATGTAGAAGTAGCTAATTCTTCCGATTATCTACGAGCTTTCAACTTTGTAATTTACACTTTTGTTCTTCATGCATTTGATGACATAAGATTATTATTATTCTAAAGGGTTTTTTTTGTGTGTGATTCTTAAAGAAACTCAATAAACCTAAATGTAAACGTGATTTATTTGTGATTCGTGCCGTAGACATGGAGAAAACTATTATCTCTCCGTGTTTGTCTTGTGACCCACTTCTGGGTTCCACAAACAGTACTAATGACATCAAGTGTTTCTAAAGGTGGACTCGCTTCTATTCTTGTGTGTGTGATGATGAATACAGGATAAATAACTTCCAGAAATGCTCTGTTTGTTTCAGTTTACCAAAGGTGTAACCTCAGAGTGTTTAACGTCCGCTCCAGGACTGAAGTTTAGGCTTAAATGATGGAAGAATAGTTCAAACTCAGACACATGTTGAGTCAGGTTTAACTCGACTGGATCACTCTCTCTCCACAGGGTTGGCTCTGTGAGCTGCTTCGCTGGAAGGAGGATCCATCTCCTGAGAACCGGACGCTGTGGGAGAACCTCTCCATGATTCGACGCTTCCTGAGTCTGTCGCAGGTGGAGCGTGACGCCATCTATGAGCAGGAGAGCAGCGCGGGTCAGCAGCAGCATCACGCCGAGAGGCCGTCGCACCTGATCCACGTTTCTACTGAGCAGTTACAGGTAGGGTGATCTCACACACACACACACTGTGTACTAATTAAAAAAAAAAAAAATGGATTCAACCTCAGTTTGTTATTGTAGTGGATCCAATTTAAAGACTCCAAAAAATGTTCAAAATTTTAACATTTAGATTTTTTTGCAAAGTAAATTTAAAAATGCCGTTGTTGGCCGTTGATAATAATAATTTAATATTTATATGTTGTCTCTTGCTAAGTAGTTTTGTCCAATAAAATGCAGCAGAGAAGGAAAATCCCCTGACTTAAAATCTAAAGCAAGAAAATTTTCTTTTTTTGTACAAATTATAAAGCTCTCCTAATGTATCAAATAAATTATTTAGTAGAGACATATTTCTATTTGTAGAATATTTGCAGCTACAATTAAAACAAAGTAAACACATGACTTGGTTTAGGCATGAATAAAATCCCATTTTACTTCAACGAAAATAGTTTTTTTCGTTTATATGAACATTTATCTAATTTGCTTCAGACACGATGAGTTAAGCACTGCGAAAAGATGATGTCTCGTCTTTAAGTTAAGTAATAAATCATTTCAGAGACTACTGACTTCTTTTAATTCCTATTTAAGCAACTGGATTAAAGAGAATCCCGATCAGATTTGAGGAACGGTTATTCAAGTATTTTCACAGGCTGCTGTGTTTCAATCTGCAGCAACAAATGAGCAGGAGAAGAAAAAACTAACCATATTTCTCACCCTTTATTTAATCTTTTTTTATTTAATTTTGCAGAAATCTGTAATAAACAACACTCAAAGTGTTTTTTTTCCCTCTTGTTAATTTAAAACACTGCAACACTTAAAAGTTTTTTCACCGAACGCTGTGTAACGACCCTGACTTTATTTAACAAACGCTGCTTTTACAAGAGACATCTGGCAGATGAATTGGAAAACACACACATGCCAACACACACACACACGCACACAGCCTCTGTTAGTGCTGGAAATATCTTAATGAAGCACAATAATATGTGTATTAAAAGTCTGCGCTGCAGCCGAGCAGTTGATTAGTTATTTTCGTGACTTGGAAACGTGGCCAACGTTTCAAAAGGGGGGCTGCCATTTACAAACTCACATTTCAGCAGCGGATATGGAGAAATTTGCTGCAGAAATGCAGTTTCAATGGGATTGTTATAGATTTAATGGTCGCCATTCTCACTGTCCATGAGTGAATGGTGTTTGTCCTCCACCAGAGCTGTGCATCAGCCAAATGAGCTCAGATTTACTCTACAGGAACCACCGCAGCTCCGTGCATTTCCACTGTTAAAATATAAATTAAAACCACATTCCACTCCCTGTAATTGTGCTTGTTTGTTGAGAAAACTCCACTTTAAAACGTCGTCTCCGAAGCTTTACAGTCAGAAATGAGAAAAATCAAATAGCTGGGGTCAGTGACGGACGTGACACACTCAGCCGCTCGCTCGCTCACTGACTCTACAGCCACACAATGAGACATTTTACGAGCTGTGTGTGTCAAGTGTTTACACTAACAGAGGAAAAAATGTCATTTGATGCTGCGGCAAATCAGCCAAAGTCATCTCACACACACACACACACAACGGCAAAAAATCAAACCAAAGTGAATTGTTCACAGAGAGGTTGTTCAGTGATGGACTGGCACGGAACAGAGATAAGCTGGTAACGTTGTAGGAGAAGGGGGGAAAGTCAGGTCAGGTTTCTGTGATTACTCCCTGACAGGTTCAAAGTTCCACTTGAAGGACCGGTTCTAACTGGAAGATCAGGGGTCCCCAACGGCCGGTCCACGGACCAGTACTGGTCCATTAGTCATTTAGTACCAGGCTGCAGTGGGACAGTTAAAAATGTGCTTAATTTTTACTAATTTACGTCCAGTCATATCCATTTACTTTCTTTATTTAAAGATGATCAATTAATAAAAAAACGTTTAATTTCTCAGGTTAAGCTCCCGTGGGCCGCATTTGGCGCCCGGGCCTTGAGTTTGACACATATGTTCTACAGCAACGTATCGATTTTTTATTTTTTATTATCAATTAACATGGAAATAATCATGGGATTGTTTTGTTTTTTTTTGCTATTATTTCTTCTCCAGTGATTACAAAGGTAGATCCCTCTGCTCCACTTTTCGTAACCTGATGTTAGCATGTGACAGTAACAGTTAATTTCAAATAAATATTTCAAACATTTAACTTATGATGAAAAATGCACACAAAAATGCATTAGTACCAGCTAAATATGACAAAACTCTTTTTTAATAATTTATTTTATATTTTAATTTATTTTCCAAAAATGTTAACTTTAACCAAATAAAAACGGCTAAAGACAACAAAACAAAAAATACAAATGAAATGAAAATGAAAAAAAAAAGTACAAATCATATTGTAGCCTTTTACAAAATAAGAGCCACAATATACAGCACTGTGGCAAACAGAAGTCAATTGAAAAGTGAAAAGTTATTTAATGAGACGTTAACTTCCTCCAGCTCAGCTCTGTTCATCTTAGCTTTTATCAGGACAAGTGTACGACTGATAACATCTCTGCTTCTCCCGGTTCCTCTCCACAGCCTCAGCCTCCTCAGTCCCAGCAGCAGCACCAGCCTTCCCTCACACTCCAACATCCCTCACAGCCCCTTCTCTCCCAGCAGCCTTTGCAGCACCAGCAGCATCAGCAGCCAACAGGGCCGCGGCTGCCTCCTCGCCAACCATCCACGGCTTCACCGGCCGAGACCGAGGACGACGGAAGCAGAGCCGGAGGCATCGGCGGCATCAAGTCGCGCACCGGTGGAGGCAAGATCTCCCTGGAGGCTCTGGGAATCCTGCAGAGTTTCATACAGGACGTGGGTTTGTATCCAGACGAGGAGGCCATCCACACGCTGTCCGCTCAGCTGGACCTGCCCAAGCTCACCATCATCAAGTTCTTCCAGAACCAGCGCTTTTACGTCAATCATCCGGCCAAGACAGCCAAGGAGCCCAACAACAACACCACCAACACCAACAACAACAACAGCAGCAGCAGCTTTAATGCTGCAAACACCAACAGCATCAGCAGCAGCAGCAGCAGCCCGGCCTTCGACGAGGAGCTGACAGACTTCAGGGAGAGCAGCCACGAGCTGCTGAAGGAGCTGGACGAAGGCACGCAGACCAACAACATCTTCTCCATCAAGATGGAGGAGCATCTGGAGAGGGGAGGTCTTGAAGTGCGGGTCGAATCGGAACGTGAGGTCAAAGAGTAGGAACTCGGCCACCGAGGACCGTGCCCCAGCAGCCCCACACACTGAATCACAGCCACTGAAAACCAACAAACAGTACAGTCGTGTTTATTGTTCTGTTCTTCACCACAAAGATACTGTACATGAGAAAAACGTCAGACACAGACTGACAGAAAGTGAATCAAATTCACACACACTGGATAAAGAAAAAAGTCCATTTCAGACTGAATAAGACTTTAAACTACTTTTTTGATTTTTTTTTTTTTTGTACAATCTGTATACATCACTGTAAAGACTGATGCATCACTGAAATAATCTGCACAAAAAGAAATTATTCTAAGTATGTTCCCGTGGATATTTTGCTTACTGCACTTGATGTCTGTTGTTTTACACTTGAGCTACTGACGATATTTAAAAAGGAACAAAAAAGATTTCCCTTCGTCCACATACGTCAGGGGTTTCCAAAGTTTCGCTCAGGGGCCAACGTTCAAATAACTTTTCATACAATTCACTGTATTTTAAGTTTCCTTCGTCCACATACGTCAGGGGTTTCCGAAGTTTCGCTCAGGGGCCAACGTTCAATTAACTTTCATACAATTCACTGTATTTTAACAAGTTTTAATTAGTGCTCCACAGTTAAATTGATCCAGGCCTAAATAGATTTCTACCAAACTGCTACTTTTTTTTTCTTTTTTTTTTTCTTTTTTGACATTTTAGCTCAGAAAATGAAACCTTTAGTTTGGTTGATTTTGATTCGGATCTTTGAAGAACACTTTTTTCATTTTATTTTTATCAAGAAATCACCAAATTATATTTATTATATTATACAGAAATGAAAAATATTCATACATTTTTAAATTATGTTAAGAACAAAAACACAGCTAAATTGGCTAGTATTTATTTCAGAAACAGCTGTAAGTACATTTTGGTATTTTTTATTTAAAGTTAGCCAAGATTATAATTAAGTTAAATTAATAATTTGCTAAACTTAATGGCGAATTACAATCACAAATCTAGTGTATTGAAAACCTGTCCAAGTACCCCGATTGGCCCTAGAGCCAGACTTTGAAAACCTCTGCCGTATGTGACAGTAAACTGTATTTTTCTTTTTTTTTTTTTTTGTGATCAAAATGAAGATCAAGGACCAAGAGTTTGACGAGGCCTAAATCAGGAAGTTTGAGGTCTGGATCCTGCTGGAAGATGACTTTGTTTCTTTTAATTAAAAAATGACAAGCACCTCACTTTCTGATGAAGATGATGATGATGATGATGATGATGATGAAAAACACTTCAGACCAATCACACAGGTGCATCTCTGCTCACATGCTCATCTTCTTCTACTTGTCCAGAAAGGAAATATACATGAATAAATATATAGAGATCTATAAACATATATTGTACTTGTAGAAAATCATGAAAAATAAAAAATACAGACTTAATTAAACTATGCCAACAAATGCCTTGTACTATAACGGCACTGCCGATGTTCCCATTCCTTTGCAGAACCTTTGTCACTGTAACTCCCTGAATCTCCACACGGTCAGAAATGTGAATTTTACATCAAGTTTTTTTTTGTTGTTGTTGTTTTTATATCCTCCCAAATTATTTATTTGAAGCTCATTTAGTGTTTTCCGATGTTGTAACTTTTATTTTTAATTAAATATTATCTTTAACGTAGCGCTAACCTTTTTTTTTTAAGATATATAAAAAGTCCCACTGATCTTTAATTTATTTTTATCAATGTAATTTTTCCCATTGTGGGCAGTTAAAAATGAAAAAAGTGTCTTAAAAATAGTTTCTTTGTTTCGTTTTTTAAAGGAAAAAAGTGCTTTAAAGGTTGCCTATATTTTAAAGAGATAAGGAAAAACACAGTGCAGTCTGTCCAGCTTCACCATGAATATGTTATGTATGCAATTTTTAACTCACCACGCAAATAAGCTTGTGTTAAAAAACAAAAACGTGACAAAAAAAAAACGACATTTTCTAGAACCACCTTAGAAAGAAGAACATATGCAATCTGTGTGAAAAAGTCCACGTCTGCTTCATGATGACGATGATGATGATGATAATGGTGATGATGATGATGTTTGTGTCTTCCTCGGGTCAACAATCCAACATGAAAAAAAAGAAGAAAAAAAAGAAACTATTCCTGTATAAACCTCTGTACAAAAGTTGTTTCTATTTTATTTGCCATGATAATATTGATGACAATGATGATGACGATGATGATACTGATGATGATGATGATGATGATGATGATGATGATGAGAACACCAGTTATTTTGTTACAACTGACCGTTTTATAAGTGTTTCTCGGTTCCTCCTTTCTTCAGAAATGTTCTAACTAGAAGTGGTTATTGATTGTTGGTTACACCATTAAAATTGTTTGTATTGTAAACACAGGTTTCTGGGCTTTAGCGTTTCCTGACTCTTAAGTTAGACACTTTAGTACAAGATTAAATACAGAAAGAATTCCGAAGTCATACTTTTGAGATATGCTGAGGAAATAGACAACAGTGGCTCACGAATCCAAGAAAATGGATTGAGAATATGAAGGGGGAAAAGGAAACTTTATACAGGAATACCTCGAGATACGAGCGTCTCGACATATGACTATTCCGAGATACCAGCAAACCTTCGAGCAAATGTTTGCTTTGAGATACGAGGTAAAGGTTTGAGCAGCCCACGCCGCCACACTTGTTCGTCCACTTCCGTACACATCGTACACATCAACTTCCATACGCATTAGGTTATCTGCGTGATTTTCTCTCTATTTTGTGCATTATTCTTCATAATAATGATGAGGCCTAAGAAAGTGAATGGTAAAGATGGTAGAAGAAGAAACTCACGATGACCATGGAAATAAAGCAGGAAATTTACGATAAATATCAGTGTGGTGCTAAAGAAAGAATACAAATCGAAAAAAAGCAAAAAAAATTACGCAAGCTAAGTTTATGTAAGTTAGGGTGTAAGGTACGGTACGAAATCACGTGTCTACGTACGGGCCAACTCTCTTCCCCCCCTTCCTCCCCCCCTCCTCCTCCTCCATTAGCCGCTACTGTATCGTCTGTCTCGAAGGTAAGAACTCATAATTAAAACCACATTTTATTTTATATCACAGGAATACTTATGTACTATAGTTTTTTTTTTTTGGTGTCTCTCTAAAAGCAACTAAAAACATGTTTTTCCATTGTTATTAGCACTAATAAGGGAGTTTTTTTAAAACCAGAGATTATCATCCAGACGAGCTGGTCGAAAGAGAAAATCCAATCAATTTGTCATCTGTTATTTCATCTTTGGCAAATATATATATATATATACATATATTTATATAAAATATAATACAGGTATTTTAAACAACTAAACTAAACTATGGTTCATTCGTCAGCTGTTAGTCTTAATGGAACGACAGAGTTAGAAGTCGCTCTGAGAACGGCGACTGTCGCTGACCCTTTTCTGACACTACGTCTCTGCTATTTCCGCCGTTGAAATGTGAACCTGTGTGTGTGTGTTTCTAAAGCACCGGTGAGAAGATGTGAACTAAATAGGTGTGTGTATGTGTGTGTGTGTGTTTGTTCGTGTCTGTGAGGAACAGCTGTAAAAACGAAGCCTCTGCAGGAGTGAAGAGGAAACAGGTGTCCTGACCTCACTGCTGTGAAGCTCAGGTGAGCAGGTGTGAATCTGTACCTCCAGGAAACCACTCTCACTAGGTGTGTGTATGTGGATATATGTGTATGTGTGTGTGTGTGTGTGTGTGCGTATTATAATATAATTGTCATAGAAATGGGTAAATTGAGTATTTTTATCAAGTCACGGTGTCAATAAACCGATGACATCGGGGCTTCTGCTCTGACGGGTGGCATAGATTTATAATAACTTCTCATTTTCACCGTGTTACCAAGTGTTTCATCAGGAGGGTCCAACTGTTCAAAGTTTCGGTAAAAGAAAACAAACACAACAAAAAGAATAAATAATTCCGTGTGTTTGAAGTAAAATAAACTTCACAAAAGCACACATATATCACTCAGTATCAGTCACAGCACACGGGCCAGTGGGAATCACCTGCGTCAGTGTTAGTGCAGGGTTGTTGGTAGGGATTTCTAATTTCTGGTCTCTTTTTTATCTGAACTGACAGGCCTGTTTTTTTTTTTTTTTAAACTGACTTTTCCACAATGCATTGCAACAATTGTAAGACGTTTCTATGCTTGAACAAAGGTAACTGTACTGTATCGTTCAAAGACTTACTTTGTTCTGTTTTTGCCAGGTTTAGCATCAGATGAATGAGGACATTAGGTGTGGGGGGAACCCTTGGTGCCTACCCATGAGCCCTTGGGAGCGAGCAGTAAATCAGACAGTAAATGTAGCAGAAAGGAAAATAAAGTTATTTTAATCAGGCTGGGATTTCTTCTGGTCTGATGAGATATTTGAAAACAGCAAAAAACGGAAAACGTCTACTCCCCCAAAAATATGATGGATAGATAGATAGATAGATGGATGGATGGATGGATGGATGGATGATGGATGGATGGATAA